ACAATAGATGGAAAGACTCAACAAACTTAGTAGCATGCCTCTTGTCAGTCTATGTCAGATGATGAGTAAGGCCAGAGCGTCATCGCTGCTCTCTCCCCCCAGCCTCCTAATTTGCCAGGCAGTCGACGCCACTAGGCAGAAGAGCGCTGTTGATTGTGGGGAGTGACCGGGATGACTGAAGTTGTGGAGTGAAGAGCTGCGCAAAAAGATGCCTTTGGGTGCGGAGAAACACCATCAGCAACGTAGATACGAGTCTCCTAAAACATCTAAAACAAGACGCCCTTGGAAAAACTGCACAATCAAACCAAATGGATGAAATGACCCAAATGAGCGAAGTGCTTCCATTCATATGTTGCTTGAGATTTGCGAGGCAATGCTGCGGCAAACAAAACGCAGTTCGCAATTCTGTTGCCAGTGATTACGGGCAAAGTAGCATTCATGGTCCAGTTTCAATCGAAGATGGCTCACGTGTACCGAATGATTCGCTATGGATGTTCTCTACAAGAACCCTTTGAGTTCACTTCGATGCATGTTTGTTGCATGTTTCTGGAGAACATTGTTCATGTACCTGGCCGCGAAGATGGTTAGTGCATACAAATGGGAGCATTGGCCCAAATGAGGTTCATGCAATGCAGCGCAAAAGAGCAGGTCATAGTCAAGCAGACTTAGAACGGACTTATATACTTTGCTTATCCAGAGCCAATAGCTTCCTCATGCTTCCTCTTCTCCAAACAAACGAGTTGTTTTGTACCTGTGTCTACAGGGCCACCTGTTTGAACAGGCAAGACCGAAGGGGAAATACCTCATCCTCCAGAGCTGTTGGTTGGAGCTCCAACAAACACTCCTCGCAGTGAAAAATCGACTTGATGAGGTCATGCGAGCACATGCCAAAGACGTGCAGCTCAATCACTGTCGCATTCAGGTGCTAGACCTCAGCTGTTTGTTGGGCACAGTGTCGAGCAGAGCCCGGTTTGTCTTCAATGGGAAGGCCTCCTCTCGCCCGTGTTTGTTTGGTGCATGTGTTCAATGCTAGAAACACTCGCGGTAGGCTATACTGTAGGTTTAATGTTTTAGTCCATGTTTATTCTACCAGGAGTGTTTGGGAAATGTGTTTCTTTCTCAAACAGAAAAGCTGAGTTTGCTATATAAGTGATTCAGAAGTTATCGTTGAGTAGAAGATCAACAAGCTGCTTTCAGTAGAAGCAAGGGAACAACCCTGCGGCCCCAGGATTGGACCGGATGGAATGCTGGTGCTAGTTGAGTCGGTCGTCTTAAGTTGTGCAACTGGTCCCACCACTGGTCCCCCACAGATGGCCCACTGAGATGGATTTGCACCTCGGAGCGGGCTTGCACGCAGAGTCTTGACAAGTCATGATGTCCACTACCCGACCAGCTGCGATGATTTGCACCTCGTGGGCTGTTCAACTTATCAGACTCCGATTGACAGGTACCAAGCGTGCAAACAAACATCCTGAAAGACCAATCACAGAGGCCAATTTATTTTCAATCCGCATAGGATATCACCTGAACTTAAAAGTGATGTAAATGTCATACTACCGGTAACAAAGGGCATCGCTACGAACGGAGCAAGGACGCTACGTTCGGGGCTCCTGGCCTTACTAGGAACAAAGGACATCGCTACTGTAGCTGCCGGCCACGGTTGCTCCACATGCTCCAGGAACCGGCCTATCCCTGGTGGGACGAGGCGCTGGAGCTTGCCGCAAGGCCCTTCGACAGCGATGTGACGGGCCTGACGGGGACGGGCCTCGACTGAGCGATGCAGCGGGCAGCTGCTTGATGCAGCTGTAGACTCCGTAGACGTGGAAACACCGAAGGATGATGGTGAATGATGGTGGACAGATTATGATAGATCTTCAAGGGCTAAAGGCTAAAGTATGCTAAAGCTGGTGGAATAGCTGTTCTTCAATGGGTTTTGTTGGCTCTCCCTGTGAGCGCACCAATGTTCGAACCGGTCTGTGTCCCTTTGCCTTCAACCATGACATCATGACACATTAGTCTTAATGCATGGTATTGACTGCAGCTTCATAATATCATCAACATAACTGGAAGCATGACCAAGACTTGTCATACAGCACAGATTTGTCTTCCTCCTTATGTTGTTCAATGAACATTGTCGTCCGAATGGCCTGACTCACGTAGTTTTTTGTTCAATTCTGAACGCACCTACTGCAAATGCCAATCCAACGCCCTTCAGGTGCATGTTGCTTTGCATCCAGCCTTGTGTAACACATATGGTTCATGTTTAAAATTTGGAGGAGAGAGAGGCATTGAAGATTGCCAGTCTTCGGTTGGCATTGCATGTTTTCATATGTTTTCCATGTTGCCAGGATCTACAATCTACACGGTTCACCTGTCGACTCGGATCGACCTTTCCGGAATCGGGTTAGACTCTAGAGGTTTCGGAAGGAAGCTGAGATAGCGTAGGGTTTGCTCCGGCCTCACTCAGCATCGATCCACTCAGCATTGACCCAGTCTTTGGTTTCCTTTAGAGTAACAAGAAGCTACAAGCAAAGCAAGGACGCTACGCTCGGTGGAGGCCATCGCTATTAGGTTTGAGGCCATTACTACTAGTAGCAAGAAGGACTTTTCTGTGTTTGGTTCCTTCTGTCCAACAGAAATTTCCCAAGTAGAGTCGCCCAGCGGAACACACTAGTTGGCAACCTTGTCGAAACGTCGGGATGGTTCGAAAATGAAGTACCCTCACCAAAAGGAAGATCGTTCAAGATCATCATGACTATGTTTGCCCCTTAAGCTTGCACCCAGTCACAAGGCTACCAGGGGTAGCCTTGAGTATGTACTACAACTGTTCATTCAGACATCTAGAGCTGTACCCGCATTCATCATCCGATTTCTTTGGTGAGTTTGTAGTGAGCCTCGCAAGCCAAGATTAGCCGGCAAAACCCAGACAAAAAAGGACTAAGTTGTTCGTCATCGTAAATTCCACCCATCGTGTGTCGATAGCAATCTTGGTCCAGATTGGTGGGTTGCAAGCCAAAAGAGATGAAGGAACATGAAGGAACCAAAATGTGACAGGGGTACCCCTATGTTCAAGCTAAGTTCTTGGTGGTGTAGAGAAGTTGTGTTCACAACATCTTGCAGTGCTGCCCGAGTAGCTTTGGTGACTCCTTGTGCTGATGAAGCTCTGAAAAGTCGCGTGGGAGAGACGAGAGGGTTTGCTGCGTTGGGTGAGGTGAGGCACAGCAGATCCAGTTGGGTCGTTGGTCTCCAGATCTCCTGGGCCCGTGAATCTTTCGAATTCATTCGGAGGTCTGTGAGTATTCGGACTTAGGCCTTTGAGTGTGGCGTTTGTGAACCGTAGTGCAGCTCTCCACATGTCAGAAGCAAAGAGATCTCTAATGACGGTCTCTTATGTGGGGAGAGCTTGCAAGACAAACACATGGATTGCGTGTATTCCCCAATTGCTTGGAGCACACACTTGCAGGTGTGCCGGGGGATGAGTGTAAAGGATAGTTCCCGAGCTCATGGAAGCATGTGTGTGTGAAGGATAGGTGAAAGAAAGTGCTAGCTCACACGGCTGTGTGCATAGCGTCAGAAGGTGAATCTTTCTTCCCAGTCCCTAGGAGCAAGGACGCTACTAGGGGCTCCTGGCCTTACTACTAGGAGCAAGAAGCTACTAGGAACAACCGGCATCGCTACTAGGAGCAAGGACGCTACTAGGGGCTCCTCCTTCAGTCTTAAAAAGAACACAGCTGATCCCAGCTGAGTCCAGTGCACCGAGGCTGCCGATGACTATGGACACACAGGTGGCTGTTGTCCTTATGAGCGGCGGAGCGAACGTTGTCCGGGAGTAACAAGTGCATCACTACTAGTAACAAGGGCACTATATACTACTAGTAACAAGAAGCTGCAGCTACTAGTAGCGATGCCATTGTTACTAGTAGCGATGCACTTGTTCCTAGTATGCAGAGGTCCCTGATCTTCTTTTGCAGACAAATACGCAATTCCAAGACCAGGTCTGCAGGTGGTTCTGGGTAGGCTGATAATGATTTGCTTTGCAAGTGCTTCCACTCGAACAGGCTTTGGAGTACAGTGGATCTAGCAGGGCTTGTACTGGGACACACAGGAGGACATGTTGAATGTTGAGTCTCATCCAGCGTATGAGTTAACTTGAAGCTCCTTGATAGGTTCAACAAAAAGGAATATTTTATCAACCGTGTACAAGCAGCCCACTTGCCAAACATTCGGTCGGTTTATGTTGCGGATGCCTGAGATGCTCTTCTTTGATTTCACCTGGCTGTCAGGGTTGACTGAGGATGCCTTCTCAACCAAGAAATTATGTAATACCATACGGTACGGTACCCCTCGATGATGTGGAACCTCCTAGGTTTGGTCAACCTGTTCTTGAACCCTCCGACTCCGACTGAATCGTGCCGTTTCGGCGAAACTACAGCGTTTCACACCTCGCTCCTCGCTCCCTGAAAAGTTAATCTTCTGACCCAACGGCAAACATGTGTTCCCTATAGTCTTTGCAATTGCGATTGGAACCAACAAGAAGCTACTAGGGGCTCCTGGCCTTACTACTAGGAACAAGAAGTGACTAGGGGCTCCTGGCATCGCTACTAGTAGCAAGAACGCTACTAGGGGCTCCTGGCCTTACTACTAGGAACAAGAAG